GCAGTTAACCACAGTGCTTTTTATTCCCAGTCTTCTCACTCACTTGCCATTGAGTTGATTCCAATTCATACTACCCTATAGGACAGGGTCGAACTGCCCCGTGGGTTTCTGAGGCTGTAACTCTTTACAGGAGTAGAAAGCCTCATCTTTCTCCCTCAGAGCAACTGGTGGTTTCTAACTGCTGGTCTTGCAGTTAGCAGCCCAACTCTTAACCCACTGTGCCACCAAGGCGCCTCTCCTCAGTCTTGGGTGGAAGGAAAGTCAGTAATCAGTCTTTTTGGCCATTAGGCATCATGTTTGCTGCCAGTTTTTAGGAGGAGATGCTGCTTAAGCTTAATTCCTAGTTTGTTGAGAATTTTTTATCATGAAAGTTGAATTTTGCTCAATGTTTGTTCCTTCCTGTGTTCTGTTACTGTGGTGAATTACATTGAGTACTTGTGAGTGTATAACCAGCCTTGTGTCCTCTGGCGAAGCCACACTTGGTGGTGAGTGGCACTTTCTCCAGATGGCCTGATTGGACATGTTCACATTGAGAAGGTTTCATGTTCTTGGGAAATATTTGTCTGCGCTTTTCTCTGCTGGCAACATTCCTTTGCTTGGCTTTGCCTCTGGGTCACACCAACCCTATAAAAGAAGTTGGGAAGTATGTCCTGTTTCCTGGAGATGTGCATGTGGAACCTGAATAGTGTGTTCCCTAAACATCCCGTCTGGCTCATCTCTGTGGGATGCTGGCCTCACATCACCCTTGAGCACACATGGTTTGAAGCTACGGTGTGATGCTAGTTCCGTCTAGACACAACTTACAAGACCTGAAATGTGTACTTGACTTTGCCCTTCACGGAAAATAGTCTGTTTCCCAACTGGGCCAGTGATCTCCACCCTGACCAGACGGATTGTGCTGAGGTAGGAGCAGGGAGCCAGGGAGGGACGATGAAGCAGTGGGCCAGAGGCTGACTGACTGGCATTAACCTGGGTGAAGGGGAATAGTCAACCCCAGGAGAGAGGAGAAATCAAAGTGAGTGTGTTTGTGTGTGTGTATGTGTTAAGTTATTCGGGGTGAGGAGTGTTGATAAGTAGTATAAACTATTGATTACAAAATTGATCACCTGAAATGTAAATCACTCTCCCCCCCAGCCCCCCACACACTCACCCACCAATTCGCAATAAAAACAAATGTAATTTAAACAATGCTGCTATCTAGATTCTGGGAAAATGTGACTACGAATGAAGTAGGAGGTCTCTCATGTCCTGGTCTCAAAATCGACTCCATAGCTAAGGAGCAGCCCTGGAGGTGCAGTGGGCTATGAGTTGAGCTGGTAACCGCAGGGTCAGCAGTTTGAACCCACTAGCCGCTCTGTGGGAGAAAGATGAGGCTCTTTGCTCCTGTAAAGGTTAAATCCACCCACCTACGAACATCGAATCTTCAACAAGAACTTGAACTCCACTCAATGGGGAAGAGGTAGCCTCATTGATAACTCGTGCTGATAAAACTGGACATCCATTTGCAGAAAAATAAAGCAGGATCCTTACCTCACACCATACACACACAAACGACCTCAAAATGGTCCAAAAACCTAAATGTTAGGATTTGTAACTATTTGAAATGTTGACTCTTGCTTGGTAGTCAGGCCATTATTGGTGATACAAACTCATTTTCTGGAACCATCATGGCTTGCACCACCATGCAGGACTATGGGACGCCAGGTGGTATCTGCTGTCCAGAGATTACAAAGCAGCAGGCTGGTTCATTGTACTACAGGGACCCCCGATGGTGCAGGGGGTTAAGTGGCATGTTGCTAACAGAGAAGGTCTCAGTTCGAATCCACCAGCTGCTCCGAGGGAGAAAGACGAGATTGCCCTCTCCTGTCAAGATTCAGCCTTGGAGACCCTCTGGAGTTTACTCTGCCCTGCAGGGTCGCTATGAGTAGGATTTGTTCTTCAGGGCATGCACATTAGTACGTATGTGACTTGGACAGCGGGAGCTGTGGACGGATATGTAGAATACATGTTGGGCTACCTGACCCTTCAATGTCTGTGCAAGGCTGACTCAGGGACCGCAGTGACCACGGATGGTGTGGTTTCTGTGGCTCCTCTCTGTGCATTCAACACAGAGCTGCAGACGAGCTTGACAAGTGACTGTACCATTGACGGTCACTGCGTTCAGAGATGATGACACAGCAAAGATGCCTCTGAGGCACGTCTCCAGAGGGCCAGGGCAGAAGTGGGCATGGGCTGTGGGCAGAGGTGGCCCACCAAGGAAGAGGCAGAACCAGATGCAGAGTGGGGGTTCAGGGACTAGAATTGGATCCTAGGTAGCCTTGGTGGCGTGGTGGATTACACATTGGGTTGCTAACCACAAGATCAACAGTTCAAAACCACCAGGCGCTCCACAAGAAAGATGAGGCTTGCTATTCCCGTAACAAGTTATAGTCTTAGAAACCCACAGGGACTGTTCCACCCGGTCCAATAGGATCGCTAGGAGTCAGAATCAATTCCATAGCAGTGAGTTGTTAGGTTGGAGAGTTGCATCCTGGTGTGTACAGTGCAAACCAAAAGCAAGCCCACAGCTGTCCAGTTGATTCTGACACACGGTGACGCTGGAGGACACAGTAGGACTGCCCCACAGGGTCTCTGAGGCCGTCAGACTTTACAGGAACAGCTAGCCTCATCTTCCTCGGAGCAACTGGTGGGTTCAAACCACTGACCTTTGGGTTAGTAGATGACTGCTAAGCCACTGTACCTCTAGGGCCCCATGCGTCCTTCAAGGGAGTAAGAAACAAGGTGGGAAAGGGTCACATTGGACCAGCTTGCCCTTTTGATCTTTTCTGATGGCCGACAGCCAGCGAAGCCTTCCGTGGGGGAGCACAGACTTGTGTGTCTCCAGGCAGTGGGAGGATGACGTGGAGCTGAGACCAGCGAGCCGGCCTCCCATAAGCCTCGGTGTTCTTCCTGCCCCACCTGGTCATAGCACAATGGCTCCAGCTAGGCCAGTGGGGGAGAAGGGTTGGTTGCTCTGGATGACATCATCTGCCTCATTAGCCCATCCAGCGGAGTGGACTTCAAGACGCCTGACCCTGGGGCCCCTCTCAAGGAGATGGAGGGATTTGTCAAAAAGGAGAAGGGAGCGCCATTCATGGGCATGGAAGCTGGGCTCCAGGAATCTGTCTGGGCCAGCGAACATGGAGTGACCTCGCAAACCTAATAAGGATGGAGACAACCAAGATGCTCAACACCATGGTCGTTTCTGCCCGTCTCCACTTTCTAAAACCTACAGAGAGCGTGGCTGAGGACGAACCACTGGGGGGAAAGACACACACACAGCACTGGACTCCCTGCTGGGGGCTATGCTGTGTACATGAAATGTGCTATGAAATAGGACATGAATATGTGTGTGACAACTTTAGTGACCTTACATAATGGCGACCTGTGTGCTCAGATCCTGCTTTGGTGCTTAGCCACGAGGGTCTTAAAACCTCGTGAGCAGCCATTGGCCCCCCACCCCCACCCCCCATCCATAGGAAAGAAGAGTGACACCCATTGAGCGACACGTGGGAACAGTTTCTCTGGCGGACGAACGGGCCGCCCAAACATCTCCATGACCTCGATGGTACCCAGGGGCCGCGGCACCAGCTCTGAAAGGCACCACAGAGAGTTCCTGAGAACTCAAGAACAGACCTCCTGGTTGGACAGAACCTGGGGGCCACCCTTATCCCTCAGGGCTGGACCTGAACTCGCCTCCACGTTAGTGACCAGGATCACAGATGAGATCCCAGGGGCAGTGTGGACACAAGGTCAAAGGTCGGAAGGGTCAGGACGGGAGGAGGGGTGGGGCCCGGAAGCACAGGGCAGCAGGACGGGACGAGGGACGGCCCACGAGGGGCTGGTGACGGTCAGTTGAAGCAGAGCCCGTATGGACGGTTGGATGGAAAACATTACAGTCCGCTCTGTCCACCTTCACCCAAGTCACTAGAAAACGTTTAAACACAATTCCTTAGGAATAACGTTATTTATTATCAGACTTCTTTTTTCTCCAGTCACCCCTGAGTTGCAAAGAGAAACATTATGTCTGTCACGAAGGAAACACATTGGGAAATACAAAAATGAGGTGTTCTTTAAAGTGCGTTCCCTGAGGGATTTCCCTATCGCTCTCAGATAGCATTCAAGTACAGGTAAGATTCTGTTACCTATTTCAAGCATCTGTCGTCATTTTCCATCAGTCATGCATGGGCCTTTCCGCCAGTTAATAAGCCCTCACAATCTCAGAGAGGGTGTCACACAGTTTGCAGATTCAAAACAATGAGGTAAAAGAGCGTGCCCTGGCCCTGGGGCCCCAGTGTGCCACAGAGAGATGATTGCTTTGACCCCATCGTGTTTGCAAAGCCCTGGATAGATCTATGTCTTTTACAAGGTGCCCCAGTGGAAAATAATTTGAGATTTGGTCTCCCATCGGTGGGTTAGATGCCAGGGTGGCACAGCGGTTAAGTGCCCTGCTGTTTAGTGAAAGGTCAGCAGGTCAAACCCACCAGCCGCTCTGTGGGAGAAGGATTTAGGGTCTTGGAAATCCTGTGGGTCCATTCTACTCAGTCCTGCAGGCTGATTATAAGTCAGCATCAACTCAATGGCAAGGGGTTTGGGGTTTCTATTGGGGGGAGCTTACCATAATTTAAACATTTTCCTATTGCTTGGACATTTGTGTTTATTTCCATCAAGTCGTTACTGACTTATAGCAACTTCATATTGGGTTTACAAGACTATACATCTTTCTGGGGTCAGGCAGCCCCCACTTTCTCCCAAGGAGCAGCTGGAGGGTTTGAACGGCTGACTGCAGTTAGCCCAACACCCATCCTATAGGGCCCTCAGAGCCCCTTTTGTTTTGCCACCATGAGATTAGTGGGTTACAAGTTAGGCTGCTAACCTCAAGGTCAGCAGTTCCAACCCACCAGCCTCTCCGTGGGAGAAAGGTGAGGCTTTCCACTCCCCTAAAGAGTGACAGTCTCAGAAACCCACAGGGGCAGCCCTACCCTGTCCTCTAGGGTGCCTGAGTCAGCAGTGCCTGGATAGCAGGGAGTTTGATGAGAGTGTTGACATACTTATCTATCAGAGATGCTGAGACAGCATCTCACATACTTTGGACGTGCTGTCAGGAGAGACTTGGCCCTGGAGAAGGTAAAGTCGAGGGTCAGCAACAGAGAACATGGGCCTCAAGGGGCCGGATAGACCCAGTGGCTGCGACCATAGGCTCAGGCTCAAAAACGATTGTGAGGCTGGTGCGGACCCGGAGGGTTTTGTTTTGTTGTGCATATTGCGCAGTGCGCTATGGGTCATAACCGCTCCACAGCACTGACAGCAACATATGTGTACACACACACACACACACACACACACACACACACACACACACACACCAGCAGTTCTCGTCATTTCCTCGGATGATGGGTTTCTGAAAGGAATTGTGGGATCAAACACCATGGACTTTGAAAAACTCTTAGATAGGTGCTCACGGACTGCTTCCCAGAGACGGCCCCGGGCTGATGCCTGCCACGCTCCCGGCCACAGCTCGGAGGCCTGCTCACGTCCAGCGGGAGCGTGGCCGGCTTCAGCAGCCTGCGCTGGGTGTCCCACCCGGACACAGCAGCCAGATGTCCACACGGACTCTCGGCCTGGGGCACCGTGGCGAGCGGGAGCTGGGCGCTGTCCCTGCCTCTGTCTAGCAGAGAGGCTGAGGGCAGGTAGGGAGCATGATTCCTTGTGGGGTCGCAGCCCAAGCTGTGCGGCCCAGTGCTCCCCAGGGCATCCTCATTTGTCTGTCTCGTCCCCCACGGCGGCGTCCTCCTGTATCAGAAGAGCGTAGCTCCCCCCCTTCTGGCTCACGCACTTGGCAGCACTGAAAAACAAAGGGGACCTTGAGAAATGAGCACGCAGGCAAGGAAGGCATAGGCCACCGGGAGGCCTCCCGGTCCACACATGGCCGGTCACTCTGAGGTGGGCAGTTCAAATGCATCCAGCCACTCCACAGGACAAAGACACTGTTAGCTTTTTAATTGAGCCCTGGTGGCACGGTGGGTTATGAACTGAGCTGCTAGCCGCATGCGCCAGGTCAGCAGTTCAAAACCGCCAGCTGCTCTGTGGGAGAAAGATGAGTTCTTCTTCTCCTGTAAAGATTTAAAATCTCGGAACCCACAGGGGCAGTTCTACCCTGTCTTATAGGGTTGCTGTGAGTTTTCAATGACTCAATGGTAATGTTTTTTCCTCCCTCCGAGCCTCTGTATTATATATTGTTATTGTCGAGAATCACAGCCACCCACATGAGAGTATAGAACTGGCCGGGAGAGTTTCCCAGGCCGCCGCCAGCTCTACGGAAGCAGATGGTCAGCCCTTTCTCCTGAAGATCCCCTGGGTGGGCCTGGAGGTCCGACATCTCAGCACCAAGCCCTTAGCCTACTTCACGAGTCAGATTTCACACTCTGCGTGTATTTGAACTACGTATGCGAATCTTAAAACCGGAGGTGCCGGTCTAACTGAAACGAAACTCCCTTGTCGGCTGCCCAGTCTGACCCAGAGACACCGGCTCAGAAGGTGCTTTCGTGACTCTGTCTAAACGGAAAGGGCAAAGGTCAGGCTTGCTGACTTGACTGGTTTACTCAGCTTGGCATCACGCAAGGCAGGTGAGGAAGTGGGGTTGGAATTAAAAAGCATTCAAATCGGGGCCATAGCCACCTCGTTGCTCAGTCACCAGGGGAAGTAAAAGCAGGTCACCCCAGCCTGGGTCCCCGTCTCCTGGATACCCCCCTGCCCGCCCCAATCCATTGTCACACACTGAGCTCTGCCTGTTTACAGCCACCATAGAGGGTAACCCCGCCACCTGGCCAAGCAGGTGGGGGCAGTGGGGGAGGGGGGTGGTTGCAGCTTGGCTCGGAGCAGAACACCTTGTTACACATCCTCAGGATGTGACTGCCTCAGTACGTCCCAAATAACCCACTTAATACTGCATGGGTTAAGTTTGCGGCTCCACTCAGTTCATAAACTTTGCTGTGCCCTGGTCTCACCCTGCTTGGGGCCTTTGACCTGATGAAACCTGCTTTCTCAGCAGTTCCGCACAGATGCGGCATTCTCCCGGGATCCGGGCAGCTCGCCCTTTGCGAGACCTGGATTGCTTCCCTCCGTGAACATTCAGCAGGGGGGTGCATTCCCCTGTTCCCGGGGAGCCAGGCCTCTGGACAGGTCATGCGGACACTTCTCACGTGACTTCTCCCTGAGTCAGGCGCCCGGAGTGCCGTGAACAGGGATCCCTGGTGGTGCCATGGGCTACGCACTGGGCTGCTAACAGCAAGGCCCGCGGTTCAAGCCCAGACTCTGAGGAGTTTTGGAAACAAGGCCTTATGAGCTGTGCTGTCCTGGCCTCTAGGGTCACCATGAGTCCGAATGGACTCAGTGGTCCTGGGTTTGGTTTTTTGGGGGGCTGTTCCTGCGACCATCTGGGACCATGGCACCAGAGGAAATCAGAATGTGAAAACAAACATCTATTCTTATCGCTAACTTAATCCACTTTTCCCATTTAAAGGGAACAGGGAGTGTGTGTGTGTGTGTGTGTGGGGGGGACTTCTGCAGGTCTCAAAGTAACCCAGTTTCTGGTCACCCATGTCACTGCCCCTTCTCGAGTCTCCAGATGTCCCCAACAGACCTCCCTGTCTAAAACACTCCGGAAAAAGGCACCTTCCTGGGCACAAGTCCCTCACGGGCATGCGGGGCCTCCCCTAAAGGCAGCCACCCCCGGGGAAAGGAGGCCAAGCAAGCACTTACCACAGGCTGACGGCTGGGACCAGCAGCAGAGCAGCGGACAGCAGGAACGTGAAGCCGGGGTACCAGGCCACGGTGGCTGAGTAAATCCCATTGAAGGCAGAGACGGCAATGACGCCGCCCAGGGTCTCCAAGACAGAAATGCAGGCAAACAGGATACCTGGGGGTGGGAGGGTGGGGCACACAGTAGAAGATTGCATTACCAACAGACCCCTCCACTCAGAGCGGGGCAAGTCCTGGTGAAGAGAATTCACAGCGACCCGCACACAACGAACGAAACACCGCCGGGCCCTGTGCCCTTCAAGGTCCCCCAGGAGAAGGGCCAACGCAAAACGTCACTGCCACCAAGTTGATTTTGACTCACAGTAACCGAAAGGCTGGCAGTTTGAATCCACCACCCGCTCCACAGAAGGAAGTGGAGGCTGCTTTCATAATAATGACAGTCTCGGAAACCCTCTATGAGTCGATGCTGACTCACAGCGACCCCTGTGGCTTTCTGAGAGAGTCCCTGTTCACAGGGCCGGAGCCCAGTCTCCCTCCCTCTGAGCTGCTGCTGGCTCCTGTACAAAACACATACACCACCAAGTATCTAACTGGTATATATGTTTCCAGTGGCTCCTTCCTCTGCAGTGGACAGCTGGACCTTCTTCCCTGTCTGTTCTTAGTCTGGGAGCTCTGCCGACCCCTGTTCACCGAGCGACCCTGCTGGGATTGTAAACACCAGGGACACAGCTTCCAGCATCACAGGAACGCACAAGCCACTCCAGTGTGACACTGACAAGTGACACTGAACGTAAACCCTGTATGTAGTATGTAAATGCACACACTATATATCACTGAACACATCATCTTGTATGTAGTATATAAACATGCACCATATGCACATTACTGACTGTATAATCTTGTACATAGTATATAGTATATACACATCGCTGACTGTATATATCTTGTATATAGTATGTAAATGTACACACTATATACACATCACTGAACATATAATCTTGTATGTAGTATGTAAATGTACACACTATACATCACTGAACATATCTTGTATGTAGTATATAAACGTATTTACTATATATACATCGCTGACAGTATAATCTTGTATGTAGTATATACACATCGCTGACTGTATATATCTTGTATATAGTATATAAATGCACACACTACATACACTTCACTGATTGTAAAATCTTGTCTATAGCATATAAATGCATAACCTGTCACCATCTCCAGCTCCCGGTGAAAGGCGTGAACGGACCACGTCTGCTTCTCCTGACTTCTCCTTCAGGCAATTAGCTCGCTTCCACTCTGCCAGAGTATGCTTTCCGTGATAAATCACAGGACCTTTTCCTCCCCGGCGCTCCTGGGGAGAGACGGGGCTTTCTGCCTCCGTCAACAGGTACAGCTTGGGAACTCCCGGGGCTGTTCTTTCCTGGCCTGAAGGGACATTGTGAGTCAGCACCCGTGGGTGGCAGTGAGCTTGGTTTGGGTTTTCCGTTTGATTACACCCCTCCTTCCTCGTGTCTTTCTTCAGTCTGTGTTGAGTGATGGGGCATCCGTTCAGAAGCTGTACGAGGCCCTCTGACACGTGTGGTGTGATCATCCCTCCCCCCGCCCCTTGCTGTCTTTGAGCCAGTGAAAGCTCTGCCAGGACCAGGCTTGGTCAGCTTCGTCCACTGCTGTCTTCCCAGGGCCTCGCGGTCCCAGCACACGCAGGCAGTCACTCCAGGGGTCGACTCCACCTCGCAGAGCGGCGCTGCCCCGAGGGTCCCCGCGTTCTCAGAAGCCGGCCGCCACATCTTTCTTCAGTGGAATGGCTTGTTGACCGTTTGGTTCACCAGGGGATGCTTTAACCTCTGCGCCAACAAAACCCACCCACCTCCATCGAGTCGATTCTGACTCATCGTGGCCCCACAGGACCAAGTAGAACTGCCTCTGCGGGGTTCCAGAACGGTCCATCTTTATGGGAGCAGAAAGCCTCCTCTTTCTCCCTCGGAGAAGCCGGTGGGCTCCCTTCCTCGCACAGGGTAGATGTTTTAATACATATTTGTCCAAGGAGTGAGCAGCTACTTAATTGGACAGCCCAGCTATCAAAGGCAGGCAGCACGCAGGCACACTTTCTCGGTGATAGACGGTGATGCTGGGAGGGCGTACAATTGGGAGGAAGTCCTCTCACTTGTCTGACTACCTCACTGCTCTCCTCCTGGTCCCCTGCTTCCTTCACGAGCAGTGCTACGGGAGCTGACTGTGTAGGGCCGGATGGCTTTCATCCCACCCATCCCAGCTCAGGCCTGTCAGCGCCGTCATGACAACACCCCAGCAGGTGGTGGTTGCTGGACTTCTCTGCGCACCTGCACTCCTTTCACAGTTGCCAGAGCGGGAACCCACTCCGCACCCTCACAAACACGAAGCAGCTTTTTAAAAAGGCCTTAGTAAAGAAACGGAGCCAGATCTAAACGAACTATAGAATGTCCACACCAACAGGTCTGACGATAAACTCACTGCCAGAGTCCACGCTGGCCCTACAGGACAGAGCCGAACTGCCCCATGGGTTTCCGAGTCTGTGGCCCTTCACGGGAGCAGAGCAGAGCGCCCCCCCTTTCTCCATCAGCTGGGCTAGGTTGTTACTATAGACCTGAGTCTACAGTAGGGTTTCACCGGTAGGGTTTCTCCCTAGCAGTTTTATGGAGACAGAATCTCCATACCGTAAAACTCACTGCCTTGTTTTTATGTATGTTTCCCTGCGATGCTTAGCTCCTAATTGTTTTGTTTTGTTTTTGAAAAAGCTTGCTATTGTGATCTGAAGGGAAGTTTGCAGAGCAAGCCGGTTTTCCATTCAACAGCCCAGACACATTGTGTGTGGTGACATTGGGTGTAGTCCCTCCTCGAGTGTCCCGTTTCCACCCGCCCCGCCTCCTCCCGGAGCCTTCTCCCTGTGCGCATGCCACCTTTGTGCGCTCGCAGGTGGGAGGTCCTGAGCAGGGAGTGTCTCTCTGAGGCCACTACAGTCTACAGGCCTAGCGTTGGAAAGTTAAGCTATCAATAACCAATTTGGGTATTTCCGTGGACTGAATATTTGTCAAGGAGACTTGGTCTTTCATATTCACATGGTTAGAGGGGAGACCACGGAACACCCAACATCCCTAATACCACTGCCCAATAACAAGTCCTAACCGGAAACGCCGTGTTTGTTCACCTCGGTAGTGCAATGGCAGGGAAGCATTGTGCTGCCCACCGACAGGCCCGCAGTCGGCAGCCGCCAGCTCCTTCTGTGGATGGAGCGATGGGCAGCCTGGGAAGCCAGTCAGGGCTACTCTGTCTTTCAGGGTCGCTATGAGTCGAAACAGACTCTGGGGCAGTGAGTTTGGATCAGTTTCGTGTTTTCACCTGGCTATCTATCCGCTGCCAAACTGGCAGATTTCATAACCTGCACTTCCATGTGGCCCAGATTCCTGTTGCAGTTGGCAGCGGGCAGGAGGAGGAGAGAAAGGGGCGATCATTCTTTGCACCTTCTCGGCTTGCCCCACCCGTCCCTGGGTGGTCTCCTTCACCGTGCCCCACTCCTCCCTGACACTCTTCCTCAACGTCTCTGTCTTGGGACTGGTTGAGGGGTTTCTGCTGGGACCCTGGGTTAACCTTTATGGGGTGCCCTGAAATGATACAAGGGGCCTGACCTATTATCTCCTAAGAATTATGGGTGACACAGTGGCTGCAACAGTGGGTTCAACTATAAGGACGACTGTGAGGGGGGAGGGTGCAGGACCAGGCAGGGGTTCGTTCTGTTGTGCGCGTGCATGGGGTCGCTGTGGGCAGAATGGGCTGGGTGGCACCCAACAACAATGATCAGAACTTATCGCTGGCTCACAGACTGTGTGCTGACTCAGCACACCGGGGGCTGGGAAGTCCACCGCTCTGGCTCCCGGCTCTGAGAGCTGGTGTCACAGCTGGATCCTGGATCCAGGAGGGTCAGTGCACCGGGATCTCGGGGTCCAAAGGATATGCTCTCTTCTGGGCCCTTCTCTCTTTGTGGTAGCGAGATCCCCGCCCTGTCCTGTTTCTGGGAGGTCTGGTTTGATACCCAGCAGGATGGAGCTCACACCTAACCCTGTTACCAGTCCACAGAGCGGATCATCGAGCCCAGTCGGTGCCTCCCGCCCCTCTGCGTGCCCAGGCCCCTCAGGAAAAGGTCGCTGGGTGGGAGTCACAAAGGCTGGGGTTAGAAGAGCCCTCCCTTGAGGGAACACAGCTCCACGGGGTGGTGAGGGTGGGTGCACAGTCGGAAAGAACTCTCGGGTCTAACTCCTGGGCATTCCATGGAGACTGCTCTTGGATTGTTGGGTGTTAAACTGCTGGTCTGTTCTGCAAACCTCCACCTAATTCACACACACACACACATTCTGGTCTGGTCTGCAAACCACCTAATTCACACACACACACACACACACACACACACACACACACACACACACACACACACACACACACTCTGTGGAGAGCTTTGAACGTTCTGGAAGAGCGCCTGGGCCTCTGGCCCCCAGCTGGCACCCCACTCCCACTCTGCTCCACACTCAGATAGGGTCTTTCCCACATAGGTGTAGACACCCACACTGCAGAAGCAACCTCCGGCTGGCCCCTCCTGGGAAGGGGGAATGGTCCCAGAGGAGCGGGCCCCAGGCACTCCATGGACGTGGGCACCGAGCTCTCTGGGCTGGGAACTAGGGGTTCAGGTAGGCAGAGGGCAGTCCTGTGGAGGAGGGGTTAGGGTCCCTTATGTGTCCTCTTGGCACAGTAAAAGCCTCTGCAGCCCGTTCCTAACAGCATGCCACCACTCGGTCCACAAGGAGCCCGTTCTGAAGACAGACGGGAGGCGGGCATTCTGCCTGTGGCTCTTCCCTGCGGCCTCCGCGCTTCCCCGGCTTGGCTTCCTGCGGGGTCTGGGTGAGGAGGCGCAGTGATTGCACTGGATGATTCAGCTGTGAATGATTGATTGTTAGCGGGGGCCAATGGTGAGCACCATCTCCCAGGGTGTATGACGAGCCCTCGCGGAAGCAGAAAGGGAGACTTTCAATACCAGCAAGAGAAGAGCCAGGCATGGAGCTCAAACTTTGGACCACCAGAACCCTGCCTGTGGGATCTGCATCCCCGAACTTCCTGGATCCAGACGGCAGCCATGAGACCAGAGCAGTCGCAGCGGCAGCAGCAGCAGGGAACAGAAGCCAGAACAGGAGGCGGCGTGGTGGATGGCCCAGCCCACAGAGCAAGTCATGCTGAGAGCTTTGGGGGCAGGAGGCTGGCTTGGGGAGTCGCTGCCTCTGGGTACTTAGCTGAGGGGGCTGGAGCTGAGTGCCCCAGGTGGAGGCTTCCAGTGGAGTGGCATGCCCTCTGGGCATTTTGGCAGCCCTGAAAGAGCTTTGTCACATTGCCTGCAGGGGGCAGAGGCCAGGCCAAGAGGCTGAGGGCCCAGAGAGAGGTCTGCCTGCCGGCATAGGAGAGGAGAGACGGTCCGGACTGAACAACTGTCTCCTGAGCGTTCCTCATTGCACTGTAACCTGTTAGCTTCCCTGATAAACCCCACACCGTCCGCATCGTCTGAGAGCTCTGTGTGGCCAGGGCAACAAAATACCCAGCCCCGCTGGAAAGCAGAGTGGGGCGGGAGCCACAGCAAGGAGTGTAGGACAGTCTCAAGTATCCATCACGGGTTGCACACGGCTTTGAGCTAGGGCGCCCCGTAGTCGTCCTTACGTACCTGACCCAGGGGATACTCACCTTGTTCGCTGGAGCAGACCACTTTGGACAACATGGACCGGAGCACAGAGAAGGGCACAACCGAGAAGAGGAACAGCAGCCGGACTGTGGGAGAGAGAGGGACACGTTGACGGGTATGCAGGGAAGGGGAGGGTCTGCTGCAAATGACCCCCGCTCTCTCTCTGCATTTGATCTTCTATCAACGTGCTCAATCTCTGCTTCTAAAGACTAATCACGTGTAGAACCGCACTTGACAGGCCAGCTTAAAGTTAATTTACTCTAGGATTCTCATTCTAGGACCCAGATCAAGCATTCACCTGTTTTAGTCCAAGTCTATATATAATCATCTACCAGTTGGTCCCAGTCTGCCTCCTCCTGTTCATTCTGCTACTCACCTTTTGGCCTAGCAACTTGTGATAAGTCTACTGAGGTTTTGGATTGGTTGGTCAGTATTTGGTGTTTTTTGTTGTGGTGGTGGTTGGTTTTCTGTGGTTATGCATTAGACTGCTCACCACAAGGTCAGCAGTTTGAAACCCCCAGTGGATTCGAGGAACAAAGACGAGGCTTTGTATTCCTGTACACAGTTAGTTTTGGAAACCCAGGGAGGCAATTCTGCTCTGTTTGAGGGGCTTGCAATGAGTTTAGTGTGGTTTGGTTTTGTAGTTGACAGTGAGTTTAGTGTGGTGTTGTTGTTGTTGTTGTTGTTGTTACTGCCTTTAGCATTCCTTTGCTATGCCGATTCATTTATCGATACACCGGCTCAATATCATCACGCACTTTCATCTTTGTGGCTCGTTGGCTTCGTGGGCACGAATGGCCCCTGGTCTGAGGTGAAGACCCTTTTATAGCCGGTGAAGCAGCCCTGGTGGTGCAGTGGTTAAGTGCTGGGCTGCCGACCGAGAGGTTGGTGGTTCTAAGCTACCCGCCTGCTCCGAAGGAGAGAGTCCTGTCAAGACGCCCGTCTTGGAAAGTCTCTGAGGAAGTGCCACTCTGCCGAGCAGTTCTGCTCTGCCCCACAGGGCCGCCGTGAGTGGTACTCCACCTGATGGCACTGAGGGAGGGCCTTGCTGGGTGCCATCAAGTGGATTCCAACCCTTCGCGGCCGTGAAGGACAGGGCCGAGGCTTTCTGCTCCTGTCAAGAGCCTCGGCAGCCTGTGCCTGCCAGGAGACCTAGTTCTCACACAGACCTGGCAGGACAGGTTCCCCAGCTCCAGCCAGTCTGGAAAGGTCTTTTGCCAGTAATTCTCTCCAGCCCCACTGCCTCCTGTTTCTCTGCTGACTTCCGGCTAGCAGCCAAACATGTGACCTCCTGCACTGTCAGGACCCCTCCAACAATGATGGCCACTAGCAGTCTCTGTTATCTGACGATAGCACCGTCATGTATCACCCTTGCCATCGCTCACAGGTTTTCCAAGTGTTTGGCCTTCTCAACTTGGCCTTGGCAGCCCTGAGGGAGATGGGAGACTGGCTTGTGTGGACTGATTACTGTCTGTTATCCACAAGGCCCTTGGCAGTTCCCTCTCCTCCTCCTCCTCCTGCCCCTCTCTCGGCTGCTGCCTGCAAGTCCATGGACCCCGGGACCGACTGGACGTACTTTCCCTTGGGTGCCTCTACTGCCCCCTGGCATGGCGAGTTCTCGGTGGATCCTGCTCGCTGTGCCTTTCTAAACTCACCTGAAAGCATCATCCACGTGGTTCTGGAGAAGGCGGTCATGACCATCCCGCCCATGGTGGTGAAGAGCCCAATGAAGGCCATGTGGATGTCCTCCATGCAGTAGGAGAACACCCAGATCCCCAGAAAGCTGCTCACAAAGGTGGCGCTGCCCAGGGCAGCGCCGTAGCCGATGTACACGGCGTCCCAGCAGAGCGGCGCGTCCAGCTCAAACAGGACGAACACTGGAGAGGTGCCGATGACCACGAAAAAATAGCTCATCATCGTGAGGAGCAGCAGGCAGAGCAGGAGCCTGCGCCGGCCCGACGCGTTCTGGAACAGCGCCGATGTGCGGGACAGGAGGCCCCTGAAGGCCTCGCAGCAGGACCCGGACGCACCCTGCGCTGGCAGCGGCGTCTCTCTGGCTGGGGTGCCGAGGACGAAGACGACGTAGAGCAGGTTCACGGCCACTGCCAGGGCGATGACGAGGAAGGACCACACGAAGCCCAGCGCCCCGAGGAAGTAGCCAGAAGACAGCGCCGTCAGCCCGGTGACTAGCCCGATGAGGAGGTCCAGGATGGCGATGCGGATGGTCCTCCGCTTCTCGTCTGGACACTGGTCCACGATGTAGGCGAAGCAGGCGCCCCAGAAGGTGGTGTAGTTGCCTCCGAGGGCACTTACGAAGGTGGAGGCAATCAGCAGCTCCAGGGGCCAGGAGAAATAGGCCAGCAGACAGAGCCAGGTGCTGGTGGCTAGGGAGCCCATGGCCGATAGGACCATGGGCAGCTTCCGCCCCTGGTGGTCACTGAGAGACAGGAGGACGAACGTGGACACCACGCCGGGAATGAGCCCGCTGAGCTCCATCTGCAGGCTAAAGAGAGAGACCTTTTTCTGAACTTCCTGTGGAGAAACCAAGAGAGGAGAAAACGCTTACAGACAGTTGATGCCGTGGGTGGAAGGACAGTTCCCCAGCCAGTTTGGACAAGCTCCCTGATAGATCAACTCATGGCCTGTGAAAAACAAACAAATAGCTGGGAGGGGGCCTGTGGCAGTGACAGCATCTCCTGTCAACTTGCAAAGGGATGGCGTCTAGCCTGTCCATCAGGTCGCAGCTTGATGCTTCATTTGGAGGTGTGACAGATACACTCTCCCTGGGAGGCATTCCTGCTGACAAACCACATGGAACTATCCTGATGGCAGTCAGAGCCCTGGAGCTGGAGGAGCCATGTGGAGACCCACACCAGTGCTGAGATGCTTTTACCACCACTGGATCCACAAGACTTTCCACCCACTGACCTGTGATCTTCCTGAATTTGGCATCATTGCATGTGTTGCATGAGTCTGAAGAGGTATTTACACACTTGTAGCGGACATAGGGGCTAATATTAGCCTTATGGACTTGATCTGGACTGGACTGGGATGTTTTCTTAATGTACCATTGCTCTTCGATACAAAGTTCTCTCTTGCACACACATGAGTGTCTATGGACTTGTTTCTCTAGTCAACCCTAACACAGGGTCTTATCTCAACTCCCTGTGTCATCCCTGTTGCCAGAGCTGACAGGCCTCCACCCTCCATCTTTCCTTATCTTCTCTGACTCCAACTGCTCCTCCCACGGTGCTCTGCTTCTCTGCTGGGTTGGATAAGCCATGGCACGAGCTCCCCAGAACTCCCAGACAATATCACAACTTTGGGGGAGGATGAGGAACGTTTATTAGGGAAGTTACTTGCATGTGATATCATGTGAAAGTACAATTTTGCGGAACCTCATCCCACAACCATTATAGGAGTCCATTGACAGGGAGCTGCCAGAGGTTCAGGCTGGACTCAGAAGAAGACATGGAACAAAGGATATCATTACCGATGTCACAGGGATCTTGGCTCAATGCAGAGAAAACCAGGAAGAAGTTTACTTGTGTTTTATTAACCATGCAAAGAAAGGCATTTGACTGTGTGGGCCAAAATATTCTGTGGATGACCTTCAGAAGAATGAGCATCCCAGAACACTTCGTTGCCTTCATTCGGAGCTTGCACACGAATCAAGAGGCAGTTATGCCAAGATCAAGGGAATGCTACATGGTTTAAAATCAGCAAAGGTTTGAGTCAGGCTTGTATCCTGCTGAGCAAATCATCATGGTAGCTGGATTATATGAAGACGCATGTGGTATCAGGATTGGAGGAAGGTTGGATAATAATCTGTCACATGCAAGTGACACAACCTTGCTTGCTGATGGTGAGGAGGACGTGAAGCACTTGCTGATGAAGATCAAGGACTGCGATCTTCAGTGTGGATGACCACTCAGTGGAAGAGACAAATCTTCACAACTGGACCAATGGGTCCTATCACGATCAATGCAGAAAGGGTTGACGTTGTCAAAGATTTTGTTTTGCTTGGATCCACAATCAATGCTCGTCGAGGTAGGAGGCAAGAGATCAAAAGGCATGTTGCATTAGGGAAATCTACTGCATGGTCCTCTTAAGGGGACTGAAGGGCAAGATGTTACTTTGAGGAGTAAGGTACGCCTGACCCAAGCCATGGTGTTTCCCATTGCCTCCTGGTCATGTGAAAGGTGGACACTGAATAAAGAAGACCGAAGAAGAATTGATGCATTTGAATTGGGGTGCTGGAGAAGACTATTGTAAGTACCATTGACTGCTAAAAGGGACACTGATCTGTCTCGGAAGAAGTATGGCCAGATGCTCCCTAGAGGCAAGGATGGCAAGACTTTGTCTTACATACTTTGGACATCCTGTCAGGAGAGACCAGCTGCTGGAGAAGGACAGCATGCTTGGTAAAGTGGAGGGGCAGCAAACAGGAGGAAGGCCCTCAACGAGATGGATTGGCAGGTGCCTGCCACGATGGGTTCAGACACAGGGGCAGTTGTGAGGACGGCGCAGGACCGGGCAGTGTTCTGCTCTGTTGCGCACGGGGTTGCTGTGGGTCGGAACTGACTCGATGACACCTCACAGCAATTAGGGATGTTAACAGGCTACCACAAGTCAGGATCCGTAAACAGTAAGGATACAGTTACTGGTCCACAGCAGTGCCTCTCCTCCTCCATCGTTAGCCGAGTCTCTCTCCAAACCTCAGCCTCTCAGCTTCTGCCTCATGGCCTCAGTGCCGCTCCTCTGCTCCTCTGTCTCATGGTCTCCTTCCTCAGCCTGTGCTCTCCCCCTGGCCCCTCTGTTCTGCCGCAGAGTGATCACAGTTCAGCCTCTAGCTCTCCAGCTTGCTCCCTGGTGGCCCTCCTTCCAGTGGCTGGATTTCTGTGTGTGTGTTCATGCTCCTGACATGGCTCCTTCTTACACGGAGGGGTGGCTTTTGTCTTTCAGCAGACTGTGCCCCCGAGGAAACAAAGGGTGTGACTGGTTCATACCCTCTACTCACGTCACATTTCAATCCCACCTTCATATCCTGTCCATTAGCTTAGCAGCGCATGCTGTCCAACATGGGACTATAGCCACGGGCGGAGAGTTCCGAATTTATAACACATCAGATGAGGGATCACGGCTAGAAGTGACCACATCTCATCACTATAATATTCAAGAAGATCGTAGAACACTAAAAACGATGTGTCTTGGTGTGGGGCTCTCTGTGCTCCTCTGGCCTGCCCTTCAACATAGTGGTCATATATAGAGCACATCTGTGGGGGGAAACCCCCCACCCCAAGATCCCAGGGCTTCCATTCCTGACTCGACCATGTTTTTCCTTCCTTCTTTGATGCCTTCCCACGGAGGCCTCTTCCTGTCTGTATTCCACACGAGAATGCACGGGACAGGGAAAGCCATGCTTGGTTGAACTTGAACTTGAACTTCAGTAGCGCGTGGTTCCCTTGGACACGGACGTCTCCAGACAGAGCGAGAGTCGGACGGCTCTGCTTGCTGAGTGAAGGAAAATGAGAAGCCAAGGAAACCCCTGGAGGGGCTTTTCATCCACCAGAGATGACAGCCAGCACGACTCGGGGTACGATCCACTCCGCTCCCCCAGGACCAGGACAGAAGCAAAGGGCACGGTGGGTGGTGGTGCTCGGTCTTTGATGGGAAGAATTTGGGGGTGACTGAATCGCATTTGGAAGACATGCAGCCAGCATGCTCCTTAGAAGTGAGCATGGCGAGGCTTTGTCTCGTGTGCTCTGGGCATGCTGTCCGAAGACACCAGTCCATGGAGAGGGACGTCGTGCTTGGTCAAGTAGAGGGGCAGAGAATAAGAGGAAGGCCCTGGACAAGAGGGATTGACACAGTGACGGCACAACGGGCTCACACCCAGCCCCAGTTGGGACGACGAGGCAGGGCTGGGCGTGATTTCATTCTGTTGCTCATAGGGGTCGCTATTAGCTGGACCGTGTTGATGGCACCTAATAAGGACAAACACATTTTGGGTTCACCGCTTCTCTGGTTTTGCAGTGTTAACCTAAACACAAAGCCATGCCTGAGTCCCTTGGTCCCTGTCTTTCAGGCTCAGGTCCCAGGTCCATGGGCCCCAATGCCCATGGCCTCCCAGAAGGAATTGGTTCCAGGAAGTTTCTCCGGCAGACATGAGGAAATGAGTCAGAACACGGGTGGGGCTGATTGGCCAGGCTTCATGCCCACAAGTTCCCTACTGGTGCCTGGAGGGACACAGGAGAGGCCCAAGGGTCTTGTCCCCAGGACCACTGTCCTGCAATCTCCTCCCCACCGTAGGCTCATCAAGGAGCCCTGGTGGCACTGCTGGATAAGCATCAGGCCACACAGTCGAGAGCGGAGGGTGCCTCCTCCTCTGAAAACGGACAGCCTCAGCACCCCTGCACTGGGTCATCATGACTGGGTCCACTCCATGGCTATGGCTTTGGTTTTCAGGTGCCTTGGGAGCCCTGGTGGCGCAGTGGGCTGAGTGTTGGGCTACTAACAGCAAGGTTAGTGGTTCGAGCCCACCAGCTACTCCGTGGAAGAAAGATGAAGGAGTCTGCGTGCATGAAGGTTTACAGTGTCAGGAAACTTACAGAGCAGTTTCTCTGTGTCCTATACGGCTGCTACGAGACAGGCTCGACAGGGCAACAGTGGGGTTGGTGTTTTAGAGACTGTGTCAGGAGCCCTGGTGGTGCAGGGGTTACATGCTCAGGAGAGAACCACAAGGCTGACAGTCGAACCCACCAGCTGCCCCGTGAGAGACAGTCGAGTGAGATTGTACCCGAGGTTTTTCTTTCTTCTTCTTTTTTTTAAAAAAACTTTGTTATTGTTGTCAGTTTTAAAAAACAGTCTTTTTCTGTACACGAGATCTAGGATTAGTATATCCATAAGGACTGGATGGATGGCTTGAGGGTGTGGAAGGGGACCGTGGGGGAAAGCAGGGAGCTAGGAACAGTGAGTACAAGGACGAAGGAAACGTCCTCGCACTGACGGGGTGACACTGCACCACCATCTTCGTGGGACTGGACGACTGAGCGGTAGGGCACGTGAACTATATGCCAACTGTATGGCTAAAACACACAGAAAAAGACAGACAGTCTTGGAAACCCAAGAGAGCAGTCCCACTCTGTCCAACAGGATCACTGTGAGTTCGAATCCACTTGGTGGCAATGGGTGTGGCTTGGTTTGATTTGGGGTACTGTGTTAGGGTGCCTGGGTGGCACAAGCATGGGTGCTTGCATGCTAACCCCCCAAAATTCCACCCCACCCAGTGTTACTGAGGCACAAAAGTCTTTCAGAAAGATGACAGCTGAGAACCCCACCCCCATCCCCCCAGAGGATGACTGTCACTCCTGGGCATCAGCTGTCTTGGGAGAACCCAGTGGTCAATGGCTGTCTTTCACGGGAAAGCGGGTGCCCGTCCCTTTTCCTCCCCAGTCAGGGCGGTCCTTGCATATGTCCTACTTACCTCCTGGAGGACGAAGATGGGGCTGCTGGTGTTCTTGTCACACTGAGACACGTTGCCGCCGAAGGCCACGCTGAAGTTGCTGGTCTCGTCCCATATCCTCCTGTACACGTACTGCGTGGTCAGCGGCGTGCTCAGCGTCATCGCAAAGGCGCTGAGGAGAATGGCCGGCTCCACCAGGAAGACCTCCATGGTGCATAGAAGGCTGGTAGGGTCCTGTAAACAAGGGGAGGAGCATGACGGCTGCCTTCTTATCTCAGGGGCTAGACTGTCAGCCACATGTGGACAGTGCTTGAAGAACTTTGTGGTGTCAACATGGGGGAGAAAAAACAAACAAATCCAAATCCAACTGGAGAATGGCAATAAGCAGGTCCTAGGAGAATCACCGTGTAATCAGCACCTTCCTAGGGTGACTAAGGTGGTTAATGCACTCAGCAAAGAGAATTCGAATCCACCCAGAGGAATCTCGCAAGAAATGCCAGGTGACTTACTTCCCAAACACCAGCCCACGAAAATGCTATGTGGTGCAATAGAAGAGGGCAGAGAGCCATGAACAGGGGGAAGGGAAGGAATGTGTGGCTGATGGCCGCCATCAACAGCTGAATAATTCCTTTACTATGAGACCTTGAAGAACTCTATGGTAGGTACTCTGCTACTGAACGTTCAAATCCAAGATTCCACAGAGGAATCCTGATCAAAAGGGGGGAGGTGTGTGGAATAGAATTTAAAATTCTTATGGAATTTAGACTTTCTGAAATGTGAAAGTTGATGAGCCCCCAAGACTATTATGCTGAGATAATCTTTAAACCTTAAATAAAAACAAAACAAAAACCCTCACAGCCATCGAGTTGATTCCAACCCTCAGCAACCCTCTAGGGCAGAGTAGAACTGCCCCTCCGGGTTTCCAAGACCCTAACTGTTCACAGGAGTAGGAAGGCTCATCTTGCCCCCACAGAATAGAATGGTGGGTGGTTTTGAACTGCCGACCTTGCTGTTAGCAGCCCAACTCACAACCCGCTACATCACCAGGGCTCCTTAAATCAAACCATCCTCCCCACTAAAGTCTTCTTTAAGCCAAGCAACCTTGTAAAACTGAACTATAGGCTGTCTGTCTTGAGCCCATGATGTTCCTTTAAGCGCGATCAGCACTGGATGAAAGTGAAGAGGGAGAAGGTTAGACAGGAACGTTGGGGGGCAGCGAGCTCAAGTTGGGGTGGGGGCGGGGGAGGGACCATTACGAAAGGATGGTGAGGACGGTTTGGTTGCACCACTCAAGGCTGCCACGGACGCCCCTGAAGGGTAGGCGTGGGCACTGCTGCGCCTGTGTCATGTCAACAACAACGAAATGAAGGGGACAGCTCTCCTCGGCGACACGCATGTGCGGCGTCCCGGGTCAGGAGGCGTTGATTCCCCGGCAAACCGGTTGGATTCTCCAACTTTCCCACGTGTGACCGGCCCCTCTCACCTGGCACGTTTGCAACCTGGACAAAAGCGCGGCCAGAGACCCTTCGGCTGTGGCCAAGCCTCCCGCGAACCCCACGTCCAGTCTATGGGGTCGCCACCTCCAGTTTGGGGGTAGGGGCCAGGGCTTTCCATTTCTAGGGACCCCACCTCCTCGGCGCCCCGCAGACCCAGGCGGCCCACTTTCCCTAAGTAATCCAGGAAGTCCCCCAGGGCAGCGACAGCCCTGTCACTGTCTGTCTGCTTCCTGCTGTGGCTGCGAACCGGCCCCGGGGAGCAGCGCGCCCTCGCGGGGTGGGGGTGGGGGTGCCCCGGTGTCGACTCACCCCCGCGGTTACAGTCTCCCTGCCGGGCCACGCGCAGGTCGGAGCATTTTCGGGGGATCTTTGGGGGGAGAAGGGGCCGTCACCCCGGATGCACCGTGACTCCCTCCGGCTGGACAAGGACTGCCCGCCGGGCGCGCGGGGGCGGGGACAACGGCGGACACCGCCCCCCGGCCGGGTCTACGCGGTCCGCGCGCACCAAGGGTCAGGTTCCCAGGGCCGGCGACGCAGAGCGGGCAGGTCCACACGGCCGGCGCAGCCCCGCGTTTCCCCAGGTGCTCCGGGCGCGGCTGCGGTCCGCTCTGGGCATGCTGGGGGGCCTCGGGCCCGTCCGTCAGTCCGTGGCCAGCGCACCCCCAGTCGGGCCTTTGCCGGGTGTTGACCCCGCTGTCGTCGCTAGGGGAGCCCCGCCCCTGTTGCCACCGCCCGCCCTAGCCTTCCTGCGATTGGGCCCCACGACCGATCCCCCGCGGTGATTGGTCCGCCTGGGACGCCTCTCTCGCAGCTCCGAGAGGCGTTCCAAGTCGGCAGCTGTCAGAGCTGTGCCATTGCAAAAAAACGTTTCTGGGTCCCAACTCGTTTTGAAGGAGCACACAGAGCGTTGGTGGGAAACGTAGCGGGTTTGTGCCTTGAACGAGTCAAAGTCTGCCCCCGAACTAGTGTTCTAAGTAGAAAGGAAGGGCGGCTCCCGGGGCGGGGAGGGGGCTGGAAAACCAGTGCTCCAGGCCGTGAACTTAGACTTTGATCGCTGGGGGTTGGAAGCTTGTCGTTGCCTCTGGCTAGTGGTATGACCTTAGGTGAATTCATTTCTAGACACTTGTATTTCTTTGCCAGAGTCGTAGAAGGCTGCTGTGATTGAGTGTGTGCCCAGCTGCCCAGCCAAACCTGCTAGGATCACACCTGTCGCAGGTGTTCATGAGACCACGCTGGAGGCGCCACGGAGGATATGTGGGGTGACACAGCCAGACGGCGTTAGAATGCCTCAGAGGAGCTGAGCTTGTGCTCCATGGTTTGGGGCAGTGCTATTCCTAGAGGTTTATGATCAAAGATTGCAGCCTTCAATGTGGATTATGACTCGATGAAACGAAAACCCAAATCCCCACAGCTGGACCAATCGGTAGCATCATGATAGCCGGAGAAAAGGTTGAAGTTGTCTTGCTTGGATCCCCTACCAATGCTCACGGAAGCAGCGCATTGTGTGCGCCTGCTGCACAAGGCTCTTTGCCGTGTTGAAGAGCAAGGCTGTCACTTTGAGGACTAAGGGCCGCCTGACCCAAGCCAGTGTTGTCAGTGACCGCAGACGCATGTGAAAGTTGGTCAGTGAGTAAGAAAAAAGGAAGAAGCACCCAGTGCATTTGAAGGAGGGTGCTGGCCACGGACTGTCGAAGGAACGAGCAGAGCTGTCTGGGAAGGACGGCCAGAAAGCTCCTTAGAAGGAAGGGTGGGAGGCTTCGTCTCTTGCGCTTGGGAAAGGTTGTCAGGAGAGACCAGTCCCGGAAGAAAGATACCTGGTAAAGCAGCGTGCTAGTGAAAGAGAGGCAGGCCCTGGACAAGGTGGGTGGACACAGAGGCGGCAACAATGGGCTCAAATCTAAGAACCATTGTGAGGCTGGCGCAGGACCGGACAGTGTTTTGTCCTGTTGTGCGTGGGGTGGCTATCGATCTGAGCCAACTCGGTGGCACCGAGCAACGACTGAGTGGTGCCCAAGGTTTGTGCGCTTGGCTGCTAACGGAAAGGTTGGAGGTTCGGTACTCTTGAGTTGCCTAGGGAGAAAGGCCTGGCAACCTGCTCCCCCCAAACCAACCACTAAAGAACCTATGAAGCAGAGGGTACCGCTGACATACCTGGGGCCCACCTGCCAGCTGGTTTGGGGCTTCAGGAAGCACAGGGCCTTGATCTGGAATGGATGCTCTGAGTAGTTATGCAAGTGGGCATCTTCATAACTCCTCTCTGGACGGAAAGGAGACCGACCGTTCAGGGTTACAGCCATGATGGGCGGTCAGGCGGCAGCCGCTCCTTGGAGGCCTGGCTCGTGTTTGTCTGAGTTTAGGCAAGATGGCGGCATTGGTCTGTCTCTGCTTTGCTCTTTCATGGCCATGGAAGGGCCAGGTCGGATGCGGGCCTTCTGTGAAACAGTCTCTCTTCCACCAACCAGCACAAACACCCATCAGCGCCAGAACAGCTGGCAGGGACACCAGCGGTGAGCTGAAGGTGCCAAGCCACCTCCTGGGCATCCAGGCCGCCTTCCTCGTCCTCAGAAGTCAGTGAAGTCATAGGTCAGAGGGTGCAGTGTCAAAGGGCTTAAGGTTGAAGCCCAGCTCTACCTTGTATTTGTTGCCATCAGGAGCCCTGGTGGCACAGTGATTTAGTATCGGGCTGCTAACCCAAAGGCTGAGGGTTAGAAACCAGCAGCTGCTCACTCCTCTGGAGAAAGATGAGGCTTTCTGCTTCCCCACAGCTGTACAGCCTGGGAAACCCCCAGAAGCAGTTCTCCTCTGCCCCCTATGGCCTTCAGGAGTCAGTATAGACACGATGACAATGGGTTATGAGTGGCACAACGGTTGAGCATTTGGCTGCTAACCCAGAGCTTGGCAGTAACCCCAGGCAGCAGCTCTGCAGGAGAAAGATGCCAGGGTCTGCCATGCAACGTCTGTACTACTCTCTGCCACACATTGGGGGTGCTATGAGCCACAAACGGAAACCATGCCGCCACCAACCACCTTGGGAAAAGTCATTCTTCTTCCCTGCCGTCTGTGTTGGTGCTCAGAAGAAAAGGACTGTTCATGTGTGACAGGCATCGCAGAGCAGGATGTGGTGAACGTGTCCCATTCCACTAGCTACTGCTCAGGAGGAGCTGGTCGGGCATCTGGTAGCAACGCTTCAGGTCACTCAACATCAAGCAGGCGCGTGGGAAGGAAGCGCCATCCAGTCATAGGCCCTGGGTCCGTCGCGGATTATGGGTTGGGCTGCAAAGTCAGCAGTTCAAAACCACCAGCCGCTCCATGGGAGAACGATGAGGCTTTCTGCTCCCATAAAGCTTTACAGGCTTGGAAGCCCACAGGGGCAGTTCTGCCCTGTCCCACGGGGTTGCGGGCAGATGCAATGGACTCAGTGGCAGTGAGTGTCGTTTGTTTGGTTAGGGCTACCAAGGTCAAAGCCAGGCTTTCTCCTTCCCCCAAAGCCCCTCCCTGGGTTCTCTGCTTCTCAAATGTTCACAGCTCTGGCTCGATCACCTCCTTCTCCCCCATCCACAGAAGCCACAACGGGGCTCAGTCATCTCTTGCCGGGGACCTCACTGAGTTCTCTCGGATCTCCCACCCGGAGTTTCCACTCGACCTGGTCAGCACACAGACGAGACGCCACAGACGTTAACTCTGTCCAGAAGTCACATACCGATTGTCTCCGTGGCCTAGGCTGCCTGGCAAAACATACCACGCACAAGGGGTGGCTTCAAAGAACAGGTTTTTATGTTCTCCTTCCCATTTCAGAAGGCCCAAACGACGACGTGTACAATGACGTCCCCTAAGAAGCCGGCCATGAAGGTGGTGAGGGCGGGGAGGCAGTCAGAGAGACTCCATAGTGCCCGGGGAGCTCACCTTGTTAAAAATGTTGCCGAGCCTGTTGAGACTAGCTCTCTCCTTGAGACACCACTCCCCCTGCCCCGAGTTACCCTTTACACTTTGAACCAGAAATATCCCTTGAGGTCACTTTCTAGCTGAATTATGTATGGGCTTGTAAAATAATGAACAGCCCACACGAGTGATAAGGTGGTTTCTGTTCAGTGTCGTTGAATCAATCCCGACCCATCGTGGCCGCATGCACCACACAATGAAACACTTCGCAGCCCTGTGCCAGCCTCACGATGGTGCCTGTGCTGGAGCCCATTGGTGCAGCCACGGTGTCCACCCGTCTTCTGGGGGGGTTCCTCTCCTTCGCCGCCCCTGCAGTTGACCAGGCAGCCGTCCTTCTCCAGGGACTGGTCTCTCCTGACAGCACGTCCAAGTCCTGCCACCTCACCGCGAAAGAGCACACTGGCTGTGCTTCTTCCAAGACGGATTTGTCTGTCCATCTGGCAGTCCGTGGTGGTTTCAGTATTCTTGGCCAGCACCGCAACTCAAACACATCGATTCCTCTTTGGTCTTCCATAAGTAATAAGCTCCTGGGGGCCGGGATCCTTTCTAGGGGACCCAACAGTCAGTATTTGCTCTGAAGTGAAGATGGGGAATCAGGGGGCAGGGAGATTGGTGTGCTGGTGATGGGACAACCAGAGGGAATCAATGACAATAGCGACACATTGTGGACAATGCTACCGACACCTGCGTGATCTGCACACCAAACTCACTACCATCAAGTCCAGCGGCCCTGCGGGCCAGAACAGAGCTGTCCCCGTGGGTTTCTGAGGCTGTAAGTCTTTACGGGAGCAGACAGCTTCACCCTTTCTCCCTAAGAGCAGCTGCTGAGCTGACCTTGCAGGTGGCAGCCCAACGCACAGCCCACTAAGCCACCAAGGGTCCTTACTAATCTGCGTAAGCCAACACCAAAATCATTTCCAGCAAGTCGATTCTGAGCCTTAGAGGGACGCGCAGGGCAGAGTGGAACTGCCCCCTGGGAGCTTCTGAGGCTGTCCACCTTTTTGTTTGTTTGTCTTTTTACATCATGTTATTGGGGGCTCGTACAACTCTTATCACAATCCATATGTACATCCATTGTGTCAATTTGTACATTTATTGCCTTCATCATTCTCAAAACATTTGTTTTCTACTTAAGCCCTTGGTATTCGTTCCTCATTTTTTTCCCTCCCTCCCCTGCCCCCCTCCTTCATGAACTCTTGATAATGTCTACATTATTATTATTTTTTCATGTCTTACACTGTCCGACATCTGCCTTCACCCACTTTTCTGTTGTCTGTCCCCCAGGGAGAGGGTTATATGTAGATCCCTGTGATCGGTTTCCCATTTCTCCCCCACCTTCCCCTTCCCCTCCTGGTATCACTAATCTCATTATTGGTCCTGAGGGGTTTATCTGTCCTGTATTCCCTATGCTTCCAGCTCTTATCTGTACCAGTGTACATCCTCTGGTCTAGCTGGATTGGTAAGTAGAATTGGGATC